TGTCTGTAGATGCAGGTGTCCCTAAAGACGGCCATAACCAACATCTCTGTCTTCAACCTGCAGGAGGCTGACGGATCGCCAGAGAGCCTTAATGATGAGCTACGCCGAGGATGAGGCCGATGTGGACGGCACGGTGAACGGGGTCACAAATACAGCATCAGGTGAGTGGTGGGAATCTGCTCCTTCCTCATGGAGTTGGCGTGGGAGTGCAGAGCGCTTCCTGAGGGTTCCTGGGGAGGAAGGTGAGCCACCGTCACCTTGAGACAGTGTGTCAGCACAACCTGCCGAGCATGTTATTTTGGAAATAGTTTTAGTATGATGTTAGTAGGCTGTAGCACAAAGCCAGGAGATAGCCTCTTCCCAGAAAGCTTTACTTGAGTGCTTACTGGGCAAATCTCTGCATGAACAGAGAGCAAGTAACTGAGATACTCCAGGGTCCTGACAGCGAGTGGCGAGTCTCGCTGTGGCGATGAACACCTCCCGTTCTCTGCTTCTGCCTCTGGGCCAGAAGTAACTTGTCTTAGTAGCAGAAGCAGAAAAAGAATGTGCTTCAGGCCAGTTTTCTGCGTGAGCTGCTCTGTTGTGCTTCTGACCGCAGCAGGGACGTTTCTCCTTGAAAAGGAGACTGCTGTCACGGCTGCTCTAAGCCACAGTCTGTGCACATGGGGGAATCTGGGACAGAAATGTTCATTGGTGCCGAGTGTTGGCGTCCAGTGTGATGGAGGGAGTGAAGTCAGCTGAGAGCTTTGTAAAGCTGCTCTTTCAGCTCCAGGTTAAAAATTTTGATTCAGCAATTATGTGTTTCAAGTTTCAGGGGTGAGGTGCCTGGCATCAATAGCAGCTGAAGGCAAAACATACAGTAAAATAGTAAAGCAAGAGCTTTGTCTTTCACTACTGGAAAACAATTTTTTCTTTGCTCATATTGGAACAATGAACTTCTTAAAGCCAGTTGGATTTCTTTTTATGCTTGAAACCAAAAAAGGGCGTATATGACTGTGTAGAGCTAGGCAAAGGTGAGAGTCTTTCAAAGCTGCTAAATGATCCCAGATCCTCTCTACTACACATGCCAAAGCCTGAGGAGAGGAATATAGGCTGAAGTTCAGGATGTTGGAAGGCAGTATCTGCCAAATACTTACCAATGTTATGTTTTATAGCGCTTTCATAACACAGAAGTTAAGTCTTTTCCACTGAGGGTAAGCATTAAAGGTCAGCCTTGGGGGAAAGGGGAGAGAACTCTAAGCACAAAACTTTCATTCCAACTTTTAAAAGGCATTTATGTGCCAAAGGAGAAAAAAAAATGCTGTCCAAACTTGTTTTTTTAAAAACCAAACCTGCCAGTTTTTACCACAATTAAGCAGCAAGGTGGATTAAAAACAACGCCAGTAGTTTGCAGTATAGAGACAGGCTGTTGCTGAAAGCGTGTCCTTGCTTTGGGAAGCAGAAATACCCCTGAGTGGATGGAGGCGTGTTCTGCCGCAGGCCTCAGTATTTCATACCGTTGCATCAGTCTGAGCTCGGCAGTCAGCTGTGGGAGGACTGGACTTTGTGTTCTCTGTGCACAAAGAAAGCTTGAGGAGGATTTGGAGGTCTTGTTATTGATGGTTTTACTGCAGAAAAAGCAGATTGGCAAAGAGGTTTCCTTTGTTCTTGCTGTAGCTGCTTCTGGAGGGACAAACAACTGCTCAGGACCTGTTTATAGAGGGAAATTATGCTCATTGCTGCCAGTAAGATTCCTTATCCAGACACTTGTTCTGAAATACTTTTAGTCTTTTTCATTCTAGCCTGAGTTTATTTTCTCCTTGATAACTGTTTGTCTGAGCATTGCTTGAAAGTACGTGAAGCAGGCTCCCTGTATGGTTTTGCACTGCTTTGCTCTAAAGGGTCATGACGCAACTATGAAACAGGAAGGGAGATTGTTCCAGGAATCACCAATACAGCTTTTTTTTTTCCCCTGTAAAGTCATGGCTGGCTGCAGTCAAGTTAACAACTTGTTTTTAGTGGCAGACTCTCAATTCCAAGTGTTTGTTTCCAAAACCTGTGGGGTCCCTGACTTGGTTGTGCAGCACAAGAAGTCTCTTGCCAGTTGGAGGGCTGGGGAGAGGGGAAGGGAATGGCATAACCCGGGCTCACGATCGCCTTTTCCACTTCTGCGATCTGGGCTCTCCACTGCTTTCACTGCAAGTGGTCCAGTACTGTGGCTTGCTGCCAGGTGCAGCCCTGTATGTGAGGACACAGGCAAAACCAGCTGCCTTGACTTGACCATTCCATGTCTAAAACAACCCTCTCGCTTCGTCAGAGGTGCTAGCTACTGGTGGGAGATGTATCTGACTGCAGCCCTTTGCTGTTTGTGTCCAGGTGGCCGGGCCACGGCTAGCGCTGACACAGGCGGGGATAGGCCTGAGGCTGAGGAGAACAAGGAGGGATTCCTTTCCAAACTTAAGAAAATGTTTAGCTCCTGACACCCCATCTGAGGTAGGAAGCCTCTTGTGTTTTACTGTTGTCTTTCCCCCACACTAAGCAGAACTTACACATTTTGGGAGCAGCATTGCTTCTCACTTAGCCTCAGGCCTTCCAGCCACTGGTGTGAAAAGCCCTAGCTGTCCCCTGTGACCTGGAGCAAAAAGCCAGGGACTAAATTGCATTGTTGCTGCAGCAAAAAAGCTGGAAAAGTGCTGAGTATGTCATCAGGGAGGTTGCTGGCCTCCCCTGCAGCTCTGCTTCCTTGTCCACTCAGTGGCCATACCCAATTCAAAGCACCAAGGGTGTTCCCGTTAGCTGGTAAAGCTGCGACTGGGCAGTTCTGCTGCCACGGGGCTTGCCGGGAGGCCTGCAGAGCCTCCGGTGCTGGTACACTCAGGCTGGACTCGCCCCTACCACAGGCTTACAGCACCAGGAGGGAATTGGTCTTTTGTTATAAAACACAGTAAAGCCCTCGCCAGACAAATGAGTCAGGGTGCCACTTCATTGGTGTTGGCCTTGCTGTGAGGGAGCCCTGCAGACTTGAAATCCTGTATGGCAGACACTGGTGTCTTGGATTCCAGGGGCTCAGCTTCCTGTCACTCCAGGCTTCAAATTTGTCTGTTGTGCGTGACTGACAAAGCGTGATGGCAGGTCCAGCCGGAGGGACGCTCGCAGAGTAGGCTGCAGGGGCTGCTGCGTGCCTTGGGCCGATTCGGTCAGGAAACGCTAAACTTTTCTCTTGCTTCAACTGCAGGGAAGCGTTCTACTGGAAACTAAGAGCCAGCAGCAGATCTTTGCAGTTGGGGATGAATCCTTCTGGCAGCGGACTCTGGAGAGCGAAGGATGTCAGTCAGCAGCACCGTGAGAATCCCAGCTGAAGAGGCTCCAAACCATTGAGGCACCAATAATCATCACCGTACAAAACCTACCCACCCTCCTAGGAAATGGTAATGAAGGAAAACGCCAGCTTTGCAGAAATGCAGCTCTCTTGAGGTTGCTCTGCAGTCCCTACTGCTGCTGGAAGCTTATTTGGTAAAAATTAAAGTTGAGGTATTATTTAGAATCCAAAACAGTGGAAATGTGAAATAATAATTGTCCTTGCAGCACGGAGTGGAGCAGTTTGCTGTATAGAGTCCAAGATGGCAGCTGCTCACTCAGGTGCCCTTCTGAATGGTAGATGTGCTTGGTGAACTTACCACTGCTTATCTTCTCCCAGGAGGCTCGGTGGGTCGGCAGGTTTTAACCCTGTCTTCACCCACAGCCCTCCTCGCTCTCCTGCACCTCTCTCAGAGCGGGAAGTTTCCCTCTCAGAGCCCAGCTGCCCTGGCTCCCTCAGCAGCCGTGGGGTGTCTTAGTCCTGCTGATTTCCTGCACAAACAGCAGGGATGGAATCCGCACTTTGCCTCAGGTTTCCCTCCCCGCTCCCCATAAGTAAAGTTACAACACAAATCCTGTCACTTCTGACTGGGGACAAGTTTATCACCAAGCCCTTCGCCCGTTTGGGACAAAGTCTTTTATTACATTAGCGCAAGACCCGTAGCGCAAACGATTGGTAAAAGAGTCGTCATTGTTCCTACATGTGTGAGAATGCAAGTGAAGTGGATCGCTCCTTCCAGGCGGAGTCGAACTCCTGCAGTGAGTATTTCCATGGTTACTGTAGCCCGCTGTTGTTAGTTACACCGTGCAGGTACCATCAGCCCACATACTAACCCGCCGGTTAAACAAGGACGTGTCATAGTCTTGCCCTTCTTAATTTGCTGAAATAAAGCACGCGTTGCCTCCCGATTAAACTGTCTGTAAAGTGATTCTGTATCCATGTAAATAAGATGGACTTCATAAAGATATTTAACACGTGCTGTGCCTTGCTGCCTTGTCTACTCTCTTCCAACCTTGTCTGTCGCCCCCTTTCCCTCCCCCAGTAAGAGGAACAACGGTCTTCCCTCGGACAAGGAGGGGGTAGTGCTAGGGGGCCTGAGCCTTTCTCTGGTGGCTGCAGCTGACTTTAAGCACAAAGACTGCCCCATCTCAGAGCTCTTATCCGAGCAGTACCTTACACATATGCTGGTGCCTGAACCTGGTCTATGGAGACACCCCAGGACCTGCAGAGAAGGCACTGCCCTTCAGGGCCCAGAGGTGCATTCAGCCCACAAAGCGGTGCTCTATGCTCAGAGCTGCGTAGGAACCAAGGTGATCCTGGGGAAACAAGCCATCACCACCCTAGAGCTATGAAAACACCCAGAATCATTAAACAAACCCCTCCCTGAAGACAGCCTGCAAAGGGAGTGCTGCTCCCACCTGCCTGCCTGCAGCTGTGCAGCTTTTCCTCTTCTTGTAGTTGCACTGGTTTAAACGGTCTCAGCCGAGTGGCAGGAGAGCCCTGGAGCGTGCGCACGGACCAAAGCTCTTCCCAGCTCTGGCACAGGGTCAGCCTTTCACCAGGGCCCTGGCGGAAAGGCAGCGTGGCTCAGCACAGCTCACCTCCTTGGCCAGTTCCCGCTACCTGCTGCAGAAGCTCGGGTGGAAGAGGAGGGAGGGAAGGCTCAGAAGGCGGCCTTATTGTCTGCCACCCACTGATGGAAGGTGCGGGCCTTGGGGTTGAGTTTCATGGTCAGGTCCACGTTGCGGTCTGGCTTCAGGGCATAGAAACGGAACATAGCGGCCATTTCCTCGGCCCCGGGGAAGCCACGTTTCTCATACTCCTCTGGTGAGATCTGCAAAAAAAATCGGGGAAAAAAAAAGGGCAGAGGCTGCTGGGGTGTTTCCCTCAGATCACACAGGGAAGGCAAAGAGGGCTGGATTAGAGCAGCCGGCCATGTTATTTCCACTGGGGAGGAGGGCTTTGCTGCTCTGCAAGTCATTTCGGTTGGGTTTGTGCAAGGGAAGCAGCAGCCCCGCTGTGTGAGGGCAAGGGGGAGGAAAGCCTTCGCTGGTGGGAGGAGGGATGACGCAGACCACTGTCTCACAGTCAGCGCTGACCCAGGACCCCCCAAGGCCACCCCTCCTCCAGGTACAGCATGTGATGTCAAGGCGATGGGGGCGGGGGAAGCGAACCCACGAAAAAAA